CCTCATCACTGGGCTAAGCGTAAGTCTAAGCTTAAGCATACTCCTGATTTGACTTCGTATTGCATAGCTACACATGGGGCAAATGGTAATCTAAGCACATGCGCGCAATGGCGCTGGTTATCAGCAAAAGTGCCGAAAAATCCTTGGACGTTCCACTAATTTTAAGATGCACCCGCAATTGATTACAAACTATCAGTAAGTCTAAATTAGAGTTTATGATATGTTTGAAAGGGGTGTCTGTCTACTTGTTTGAAGTTTAAGAGTGATGCTAATGATTCACAACAACGACGGTAATGACAGCAATACGTTCCAAATCGACAATACTTACAATACAAGTTCACTTCAAAACAACAACAACAAAACGGTAATGAGAACAATAAATACAACGAAAGTGCTAACAATAAAGCGATAATATGTACTCACAACGCCATCAACCTCAAAACACTACCATCACACTCACTTCTAATCAAGACTGATCTACAAGCTGTTCGATCTTATCACTAATCGCTAAATTCCAGTAATCGTTCGCAGGGTTATCCAGATGATTTTCGAAATCGATTATTTCGCGATACAATTTCGTCTGAATTGCTATCGAGGTCGCCGTCAAAGTCTCTAAATGTCGATCCAAATGGAACCTGAAATGATGTTTATTTTATAAATGAATCTCAACTGATTGTCTCTCTATTTCCACCATTAAAAAACCGACTTATTCGTTAGTGTGAAAGCATATTTTTAGATTTGAAGATATGATAGGAAAAACGAATGAAAATTTGATGAAATGAGTGTAGTACTTCTTTGGTTTCCAAGCCTTATTATCGTTGGCATACACGCAGATCGCTGGTTCAGATGAGTCGATGCTCAATAGGGAATTATCTATCTGAAATAAATGACTTCATCAACGATCCTCATTCAGATCTGAACAACTGACAGATGAACGAACACCTATAACACACTCGAGTATATGCACCTAGACACAACAAGAATGCATGTGCGCTTCATTTGACTCTGAAAGCGATAACGCAGTTGAT